AGCGTCTCTAAAACAACAGTGAGGACATCCTAAGTACTGCAGAGCTTTATAACTTTCTTTCAGCTTTCCTTAGATAGCTTTATTGTTCAATGCTGATGGGCCCCGAAAAGATTCGATGTGACGTGCTGCAGAAATTAATGTCTGCAAATCCCAAACCCAATGAGATGGATCTTCCTGTCACCAGGTAACAACACAAGGCAGATGACCTTCCTCAATACTTCTTCTAGCACGAGACTTTGCTTTAGCCGTCGTGTTTTCTGTGATGGATTTCCCTGAAAGCTTTAGATTTCTGTGACTACATGAATAAACTGAGCACCGTGTACATATTAAACTCTTCAATTCCAGGAAGCACTGTGCTTACTGTAAACAGACTGGCTGTTGATTCGAGCACGTGCAACACATCCATCTGCTTCCTGGAATCTTCAGACCTCCTGTGCTGCACATGTGTAGAAAATCTGCAGCGTTTTGAGAAGATTTAGTATATGAGTGCTCTTCTGCTGGTCTGTATCTGTAGAAATATCTGGGATTTAAAGATACTCAGCTGCCTGGTCAGAAGCCCTGTGTGTGAGCTTCTGCTAGTTTTCCAGACACTCTGAACACATGAATACATCAGTGTTCCCCTTCCCCACCACAGGGAATGTGATTTCAAGGCAGAAGATGTCATTTCTGAGGGGAATCCGAATTTACAGCAGCTGCTTTAATAGTGGCAGAAGCTGTTTTTCTTATGACGTTGGAAAAAAGGGGGAAGAATTTAAGCCCCCAGAGGTTTTGCATTTAGTGCCAGTGGAAGAAGGATTTGGTCACCTGTGAAGTTTTTATTCTGCATCTCAACAAATGCAAAGTGGATGCTTATTCCTTACAGGCAAACACAGTTAATAGGATGTGGTGTATAACCTAATATATTATGCTGATTTATCTCCTCCCATGACCCTCTGTAGTCCTTTTATACTGCAAATGTGCAAGACTGGATGTACTCCCATTGGTATTGTAATTGGCAGAGTGCCTCTGAAAAGCATGTTACTTGTTGTCACTCAAGATGGAATATGTGTGTGACTGATTAGTACACATTTTCTTTTGGGAGAGGTTTGAACCTTTGTAACTGTAGGGAGTGAGAAAATTAAAGTATGGTAAATAAAAGTCCTAGATTGGAAGTATTAGTGTAACAGTAACGTTTTCTCATGCCAGTAAAATGAGCTGGTTCTTTTAAAACCTGTCTATTTATGCCATGATTTTCTTACAGAATTCTCAATTATACAGAATGTTCACTTATCTTGTTTTCATGTGGTTGTGATACTCTGAAAATTTTTTTTCAGGTGTAGAGGAATGAATATGGATGTGTTGTGTTTGTCCTCCTAATCTTATTTGTGCAGTTGAAGTAAAAAAAGTTCTGTAATACTTCAGGAGCAATGATGTCTTTTTGGTTTGTAACATTGCCTCTTTTGGTCATTTACCCCAATTTTGAAAAATGGCCAAGAATATTAAAAAAAAAAAACCAAACAAGAACCCACACAAAAAAAACCCAATGAAACAAAAAACCACCAAAAAGCCCCACACCACCATTTTATGTGCACTGAATATGTACACTACTTACCACCACCACCATTCAAAACCGTGAGTTTTGCTCTCAAACTTGGTTTCTTTTTCAGTTGGAAAAAGTTATTTTTCTTCTTCCTGGAGTTTTGATGTTGGCCATTTCCCAAATTCCCAATTTCAGTCTTTGCTAGATGAAAATCTACCTTCCTTCAACTTATGATCACAGAAATCTTCTGGTGTAACTGCCAGGTTATCGCAGAAGTGAGGGAAGAAATTATAATTCATTGCAAGAGTTAGTAGAAGCTTTTATAATGCACTGAAGTTGCTGTCTATTTTGTTGTGTATCATTTTACAGCCACGAAGACCTGAGACGCCAGCATGGCACTTCGCAGATCTCTGTGAGAGATTTTCCACTGACAGGCGGACAATTAGTATTCTCAGAAATCTGCTAACTTGTTAAAGTTGTTAAAAAAAATGTTGAAGTAGTGTGTGCGTTACAGCTGATAGATGTATTCATCTTTTCAACGCAATAATAAAAAGTTCAGTCTGCTTGGCAATAGTCAAGATTTTTCAATTTAAAATAACATGAATGGCAACAATTATTAACAATTATTAATTGAAGGTGATTGGTGAAAGTTTGCAAAGGACTGGTTTAGTTTGTAAAACAGAGCTGGGTTTGTTCAGTCTTTTTTTTTTCAAAATCAGATGATATCTCATCTTTGACTTTTGGGGGTATTAGAATAGTACATACAGAAGTGCTTTTCTAAATCCCGCTAAACACTTACCTAATCTTTGGGTTTCGGCATCATTGTAAGTCTGGACATCAGTTTGAATCTTTTGTGTAAGTAGGACCACTGTTACTCAGAAAAAGAAATAGCAGATGGAAATCTAAAGTTATAAATTTTCTGCTGCCATGCATTGACCCAGGCATTTTCTGAAAGTTGTTGTTTTGTACAAGACGAAGCTGGGTGAACTTGTGCTGCTCTTGTGGCTGATGAATTTGCTCTTGTTCCTCCCCTGCCCCTTTTTTGGTCTTCAGTAGAAGCCCAACCCTCTTTTAGTGAACACATAAAGACTAGCTTTGTCTTTTTAAACACAAGCACGGTGAAGTCAACATGTGTGTTCATAGGTAGTTTGCTTATATTATTTGTTGATTTCAAAAGAAAGAAAGAAAAACAAAGTTGTGTTTGTATGGGTGCGGTACAAGGGGAAGCTTTTCTTAGGTGTGTCTGTCCCTGCAGGTACTCCCTTATCTCTGATCCGTATGCTCTGATGCTTCTCCCATAATCGCCCAAATTGTCCCTATTCTTCTTTCTTGTCCCAAGAGCTTTCCTTACTCCGGTTTCACTCCCAGCAATCTGACTGTGTAGCTCAGCTAAGAATCTGTGTTCAGGAATGACTGCTCTAGAAGACTGCTGGTTATGCACGATCAGTTTTTATACATGAAAATAGAATTTAATCATCCTGGACTGACTTTATGGTACAAAGATACCTCCAAACCACAACTCTCCTCCAAGTCACTGCCTACTGAAACCAGGAAGGTGTTAGGGAAAAAAATAAATTACTGCTGCCCTTTCAGACCAACAAAGATGACAGGAGAGTCGGGACATTACCTTCTCTGTAGCTGTAGACATATTACCGTGGAGAATGGCCAGGCAGTGTAAAAGCTACATAGCTTTAACTCCACTCAGAATATGGGAAGCAGTGTTTTCTCCTCATATTCTCCTTCAGCTGTATAAAGATAAGGCATAATTTAAGTACAAATGAAGATTTTGCTTTTTTAGATTAAAGGGCATTTTGCTGTAAATCAGATAACAGGCCACTAGAAAGATCAGCCTGCTTGAAGACTGATCTAGATATTGTTGTAGTGCACTAATACTGTGATCAATTGGACTCTGCTGTGCAGAGACAGAGTTGTCTCTTTGTTCCTATCTACTGCTAATAAATACAAGAATGACTGAAGCCTGCAGTCATACTTGTATTGGAAGAATGGAAATTTTGCTGGTTGAAATTCACGGACTTTTCATCCTAGAGGATTTATTACTTTTTTCCATCCTCTCTGATAATAACAGCAGAAATAATGAATGTTCTGTAGCTGAAAAGGTAAGATTTTTGAACACTGACTGCATCTGTTCCAGCTAAGCCATTTATCCCAAACTCTGCATATAAAAGGAAAGGAGACCAGTAACCCCTCACCTCCTGGAATCCCAGAACATTACCTTGTTGGTTTTTTGCTTCTATGTGCTAGGCTTTTTTAATTATCTGTTGAATCTAGATTTGCATGTCACTTTTTCAGCCAAGTGTTGACATGACTTTGCCAACTGGGATTTCCGTTGCTAGCAGTCTTACAAGCTTTATTACATTAAACATGATTTGCAGTCATTCTAAGTTATGAAAAAATAACTTGGATACTCTGTCTTTTTCAAGGAGTAACTGGGTGACCTCTTACAGAGTATTGGTGAGCAATGACAGTCATGCATGGACTGCTGTCAGAAATGAATCTGGAGATGTGGTGAGTATCACGAAACAGACGTTTTATGAAGAAGAGCAGAGGTGGGGAAGTGGGGGCTGTCCACGTGGAGTTTTGATTTGCCAGATTTGTCCATGTAAGATTACAAGGTAACATCTCTCAGTGATCCCACTAATTTTAAGAGCAAATCACAATATATAGAGAGGGACCCAGAATATCTTATATGGCAAATCTGCATGTGTCTGCCTGCGGATGTGAAAGCCACCCTGGCAGTGGTCTTGCCTATCGTGAGATATGTTTCTTGTTGCATGGGCTGTGCAAGGGTTAGTGTCACTCTGCTGATCCTAGAGGACATCTCAAGCCCATGAGGTGCCTATTGCCAGAGAGAAGGTGTGGAGCTCTGGCTCCTTTGCCCATCTCTGAGGGGCATGGTGGGATTGTGTTCTTTGAAGAGTGGTTCTGGCCTAAGCCACCATCAACATGGGGCTCTTTGTACCAGGTGACTGTGTATTACCAAAAGTGCTAAAAGACTTTTTGAAGAACTAATCTTGCTATTTTCTTATGTTTGGCCTGCATAGATTTTTGAAGGAAACAGTGAAAAAGAGATCCCAGTTCTCAACAAGTTGCCGGTGCCTCTGGTTGCACGTTACATCCGTATAAACCCTCGGTCCTGGTTTGAAGAAGGTAGCATCTGTATGAGACTGGAAATCTTAGGATGTCCTTTGCCAGGTAAGAGTCTGTCTCAACTGATGTTGACATGGCTGCCTGTGCCAAGACTCAGAAATTTCATTTCCTTTGGATATCTTTGCTTTTGATATAATACCTGTCTTTAGTGAGTAGAGTTATGCAAAAAGAAACAAAAATATCTGTCCAGATTCATGGACAGTATCAGGATAACTCCTCAAATGCAACCACATAGTATCTATAAGTGGCTTTATTAATAAAACTAGATTGCATGGATGATCTAGCAAGATTTTCTCTGTTATTTGGGCTTAAGTGCAGTGCAATTAATCTTACTGAGTGCACATGTACTAGGGAGGCAATAGGATTACGTATCGGGACAGTCACTTGCAGATGTCTTAAGCTTCTAAGGCAAGAAAGAACCATTATAATTATGTAGTCAGATTTTTTTTTCTTTTCATTTCATTGTACAGGCCATAGGACTTCCCTGAATTAATTTGAAGGTAAATACTGTGACTGAACTAGTGCTTATCTTTTAGTGGGGAGGGAGGGAAGTTGGGGATGTAAAGGATTTCTAGCAAATTTCAAGTATTATCACATCCAGAATGATCCCTGGTAAGTCTCAGGTGAACGTAAATGGTCCTACCCTCGGTAAAGACTGTGGAAAAGACACAACCTGATGTTTAGCACAAGCTTCGGGTGTTAGCTGTTTCTCTTATCATATGAGTGCAAAATACAATTAGGGTTTTGCTAAACAGTGTATACAAAGTGAAACCTTATACAAGGCCACCTAAAAAAGATACTGCAAATTATGGCAAAGCCATCTTTCTGTTAAGGACATTGTAAATAGTCTCATGGTGGATTTCTGTCTTCATATGTGTGTGTATGTATATAAATATTTGAAAAGCTGTTTGTTTGAGCCTTTTCTAAGTTGCCCACTAATCATTCCACATCTCTCATCTTTTTTTTTTTTTTTTTTTTTTTTTCTTTCTCTCTTTGTTCTTAATTCTGGCACTTTGGGGATAGCACTCTCTTTTTTTTGCAGAGGGCTATGAATAGTATTTTCAGAAATACCAGAGCCAGAAAGAGAACTGCCTTTCCAGAGCCTGTCATTACTGCTTTAACTGTTCCTGCTGCTGTTCAGAGACTTCCTGCCTCCAGTTCCACTGTTGATGTAGGGTCTTCACATTGCAAGCAGAGGTAGCCTGATTTTTGTCCTTTAGCTGTTTAAATACTCATGGAAAAAAAAACCAAGCTGGGCTACAGAAGGGATAATTCTCTGATGAAGAAAAGTATGGGGCAAGTATTGTCATAAAACTTCGTCTGTAGGTGTATTACCGTGAAGCAGTGAAAGTTAGCAGTGCTTAGAGACCTGCTTTTCTGCGGGTAACAAATACATCCTGGACTTGAACGGCAGTGACCAGGGGTATCCCATGTATGTGAATATTCATGTTTTCAGTAAGATTCTGATTTATTTCAACTGTGGGTTTAGAACACTCTAGCTCTGTGGGTTGTTTGTTTCCCACTGCACCTTTTACCATGGAGGGGCAATTCCAGAGCCAGTATTTCCCCTCAGCTCTTGAAAGGGCTGTCGAAGAGCAGTGATCTATCCCAAATTCCTACACAGGTTTGCAGAGGATCCACTCTCTATAACACAGGGTGTGAGGCTGAAGGAAAAGCATAGCTTTCATCAGCACCGTGACTTTACTGGCATGCAGGACATGCATGGAGGTCTCCAGGGAATAACAGAGATGACACTCAAACCATTTCAGAGAGTAATTTGTAGGGAAATTCTCACAATCCTTTCCAGTTCCATAAACCTGTACTTAAAGAGGAAAGAGCAAAAATGTCGATATTTGGAAAGGTGATTTTTATTAAGTGCAGCAGCTATTTACACCAGGGTTTTTTGGGGTATACACCCATACAGGGCCAGATGCTGCTTTGCAGTGTTAGCATTTGTCACCCTTCAGCATGACAGGGCTGTATTGGTGGGTGAAGGTGTTATGGAGGTAAGAACTTATCTGCACGTCCACCACTGTTGCAATGAGTGCTGTTGCAGCATGTTGCAGGTCTTGGATCAGCATAGAAACAGCATCAGTGCTTCTTGATGGTAGTCATTTATTGAGTTAATTGCCTGCAGTGGCTGATTCAGTTTGTTCTTGAAAGAAAATACCAGAATCATTCATTGAGAAACACAATGGGAACGGGGTGTGTTTATTCAAAATATAATTGAACTGAAAGAACTAATAGGTTTTGATAAGCTGCTGACCCATCTTTTTAGCTCAGAAAGAACTGACATTTCTTTCTTCTAGCTCATTTTATTCATCGCACGCAAGGCGCTCATAACAAAGCTGTTCCCCAGGTTGCAGAGGCCTTTCCATGCACGTTTTCTTCCTGTAGGATGTGACTTTTTTTTGCAGTTCCCTGTAACTGGATTCCTTACCCCTATTGGTATCATCTTACTCATTCCAAGTCAGATCACCGACTGGTTTGGCCATGGGTCCAGTGTCCTTGATAACGCTGTTCTAATACACTGTATTGATTGTACAACTAGAAATCAAGGGTTCTTTTCTGACAGAGATTTCCTCCGTAAAACTGAGCAAGTCTCATAAATTCATGAAAATCAGGAGGTGGAGCTCTGTCTGTTCACACACCTCCATCCTTTCCAAAGCACAAAGACCCAAGAAAGAAGTTATGTGACGCTCAGTTTCCTTGAATACCTGGTGTGGGTTTGATTATATTTGCACCCTGAGTGTGAACATACAAGAAATCAAGTTGTCAGGAGCAGCAGTTTGGTCATGTTTTAGAGCTCCCACACACCGTGTCCTCCTGCAGCAATGACAATGCATGGGCAGTGGAAATACCCCAAGAAAAAAAGTGGGGCTGAAGGGAAGTAAGTCATTTTTTATCACTGTGAATTTCTTTTCATGTCTTTTAAACTTGTAATGTTAGGTTTTATGTCTTTATTAATCCCTGAATAAATAAAGTGATTTGCATTCAGTCTGTACTCCATATCAGCTTTCCATCATGTAGGCTCACAAGGGAGGGTAAGAAAGAAATATCAGATAAAGAAGAAACCTGAATAAGGTATTAATATTCTAGGAAAGCTTGTTAGCGCTGGCAGAATGTGATGGAAATAGTTAAAGACAGCTAGGACCCATTCCTGTGGATAGGAATCTCTTAATAAAACCTGCTGCATATGCTAGGTGCACTATAAATTGGACAAATCGTGAGAAAACGCTATTTAGATAATTGGAACAGAGAAGTTACAGATTATCTAATTGGTATTATATAAGGTGATTGTAATTTTTATCAGTGAAATGCTTATATATTATTCATAACATACATTTTTGGTCTGTTGTAGGCTAGTTTTGACAAACCACCTTTTCTAGACTATTTCAGTAGCTCTACAAAAAAAGCTGTGTTACCGAAATGTGTCAGTGCCGTCTTTCAGGCAACAGAAGCGATTTGCTGTTTCACCAAGGGAAAAACACTTAGCTGTGGAGGAAAGATGCCAGAAAATCCTACCTGTAGCAGAGGATCAGTGCCACCATTTCCCACTGGGGAAAAAGAGAACAAAAGCACCAGCATTTCATGCCCCCTCCAGTTTCCAAAAATGTTAGTATTTACATAGATGTAGACTGACACGCACAATCTTTTGCAGTTGTCTCAGAGGGATGGGTGTAGTTTCCTTGCCTGTTCTTTCTCAAGTGTAAGGAAAATCAAAAAGAAACTGCATATGATCAAAAGTACCCAGAGATAGGAGAGAGAAAATTAGCTGAGCTCTTCATGCATTTATTTATACTGCAGAGTATTCAAGGCAATAGGCAATTATTTTAATGGAATAAATTTGTGATTAAATTTAATTTTTAATAATTCTTATATAGAAAACTTTCATTGGTATCATGATTATGCCATCACTTTCAACCCAAGATAAAAGATGAACTACTCTGTAACGGAGTACTGTGCTTTGCAGTGGATGCATCATTCAGTCCTATTTTCATTGCTTGTCTCTTCTTGCCAGTCTACCTGGTTAAGTCTAGGAGTGTGCTCATTTTGTATAAAACTCTGATTTCTACAACTGTCTTTGTTTATAAGTGATCGTGTATACAGCAGTGCTAAATTCAGTGAACTACTTGTGAGAGTAAATTTTTTGCTTAGACTGACAGTCTGTCCTTGTGTTCTGCTTTTATCATTGCAAAGCTAAAACTTAATCTTGAGCAATTTAAAAATTTTTTGGGAGCTTGCCTGAGCAGTGACTGAATAAAAATGAGACCAAATTCAATAATTCTCCTGGGAAAGGCCAATGTATTATGTTTCTCCATACTCATCAAGACAGATGTGTAACATCCCCCAGCAATGCAGTGGGTGCTGTTAAAAGGTTTTCCTTCATATTTTATTTGTAAAATGAAGGGTATACTATTCTGAAGAAGTATTAACAATCCTCAGAATTACCATTATTATAGGAATCAAACTGTAGGAAATCACTAGAAAGATCAAATGTTGGTAGAAAACCTTCAAGAAGCGACTACTGCAGGTTAAGAGTTTGGGTTTTGTGTTACCCATTGTTATCAGTCACCGTGCTTAACTGGAGTTAGTTGTTTGGTATTTGACTATGCATCAACATATATAGAAAAGAATCCATCTATAGTTGAAGAATATTATTTCATTGCTCATTTAATGTGTGATGTTAATGCTCATGACTGTCATAAAATAGATCATGTGGAAAAAACCTTACAATCATCCGATATGTCCGCCAGCGGGTTTTTTCAAGATTACACGTGTGCCGTCTGTAACGTTCAATTTTATGAAGACAAGTCAAATTCACTTATATTACATGGAAATGAAAAAAATCAGTCATTTGCAAAATGGCAAGTTGTGGTTTTTAAGGCAGTCTGAAGGATTTAGGCTAGAATATTCCTTTTATTAAGCACTTCTCTAAATCACTTGGATTGACTTCATTATCTCATCCATTTGGAGCACTATATGAGCACCACTTCTGAGCTTGCAAACTCCATCAGTATGGTACCATACAACTCACCGTAGGACTTCTGTGAGAACGAAGCATCTGAACAAATCGTGTTGAGAATGGACATAAGTTTTACTTACTAAATGAGAGCATTTTGATCATATTTTTTTGTGAGTGTTGATTCCATCTTCAAGTCATTGCAAAGCTCACTTCATACCTTTCCAGTGCCAATTAAAGGAGCACTGAAAACTAAAGGAGGAAAAAAAGACCAACACATGTTGTTGTTTTTAGCATAATAACTGGAAACCCACTGGAAGCATCAGGACTCCATTGCTTGAGGTGTTGTGTAGAGTTGTAATATATTCCTATATAATATCTTTATATATAATCCATCTTTACAAAGAATAGAAGTATGAAGGTAACAAGCTACCTTTAGCTGCAAACTTAGTTAACTCTACTGGTAATGTAAAGATAGATTAGAGGTAGAAAAAGCAAATATATTCCTCTGTATAAATGGGAGTGCCACACTTTTGCAGGACCTTTTCTCCTTGGAAGAAAGAGAGACTGTCAGAGGTAGTGCCATGAATAAACGAGTGTATTTCAATTCTAGTTCTTCTGTGGTTTGAGTTTCTCAGTCTCTTATTCTCTGTTTTATTAAAGAAAATATTTTTTGCCAAAGTGGACTTAATCAGCTATGCACAAGACTTGTATGCCTTTCTACATTTTAGCTTTTAATTTTCTAATCTGTATTCCTGCT